ACACTTTTATAGTGATAATATCAATCTTCAGCTGTGTCCCTGTTCAAAATACATTAAATAATTTAGTAGTTAGCATGACCATTATAATTTGGCTTTATGTGACAGAGATCAGCCAGATATGAAGGAATGGATTGACATTATTAATCTAGTGGCTGCAACTTTCTCTTCACCTCCACTGGCAGCTCCTGTTGGCTCCAGGTAATTGACAGCTCTACAGGCAGCCTAACCATTTATTATTAGCATTTGTTGTTGTACAGCAGATTGTTTCCCTGAGAAAATGACAAAATGACAGTGCAGTGCTCTTCATGGCTACCAGTACCATCTTGAAAGTTAACCATGTCTTTGCCTCAAACGGAAATAACCAATGAGCTTGACGAATGATTGATTAAAAGAAAGTTGTATTCATGCTCTCCCAGTTGTGTCTCTTCCAGGGCTGTATCCAGGGTGCCCATGACCCCCCTTTCAAAGCCAAAAAAGCGAGAAAACCATAGATTAATATGACATCATATTGACGTCATATAACGAAACAGTGACAATGTGATATGTAAGGACCCCCTCCCCTTCCCCTGGATATGCTGGATATGCCCCTGCCTTCGAAGCAATGGCATCAAGTTACCTTTAAAGACAGTGCATGAAACCTCTTGTGAGAAGATTATCAAGAGGATATTGAATGACTGAAGATATGAATATCTTTTCAGCAAACGTTTTCAAAGACCAGTGCTTCCTTTTTCCAAGACCAGATTGACACTAGTGAGTATACATCAAGGATTTGAAGACCTGCATTATCTTTCTGTAGTCTGCTAAATAGAGTCTCTATTAATTCCACAAAAAGTGTTTATTTTCTAAGAGTGTGAGTGATGTTTGAACACAAGCAACTTTTTTTTTTGTTTTGTTTCGTTTTAATTGTTTTGTTTTGTTTTGTTTTGTTTTTTGCTTTGTTTTAATCATAAGAGTCCAATAAAGTCAAACATGTTGTGTCAAGATCCTTTGAAATGTTTTTAATAAATCATAAATTAATTACATTTTGTAATAAATTTATTTGTGAATCAGGTCAAACAGATAGAACACCATGAAAAGAAAGCAAAGGAATCCCAAGATGACTTGATAGCTTGCTTACAAAGTGAACCAAGAAACGGTTCATCAAGAGATCTTCAGGTACTATTAATATTATTAATAATAATAAATAATATAGAGTACAAACATTAAATGTGTGCAACACTTTCCACTATTTAATACAAAATAGTGTTAATTAAACAATAGAAAATAATAGAATTAGCAGTATTTAGCAGTATTTACTGGTATTTATGTTGAACAGTTTTAGTGTTTGTACTCTATATTACTCCCACTTTATTATGATTGACATTTATTATGATGTTGTGTCCTTGGTACTGTAGGAATGGCAAGAAAAACGAGATTTCTTTGAATATGAGGTGAGAAAAATGTCTGACAATTTACGCTTAGTAACAATCAAAAAGATGTTGAAAAATAAGTGGTAATAATAGAAATTTTAAAAAATTCGATGAATTAACAGTGGGCCAACTCCACGTCTCCTGTTACAGTTTTGTAATACTCCAGTTTTAAATTTTTTTATTGCCTCTTTGTACACAGAGTGTTTGCATCACAATAGAATGATTCTCTGTTTAATAAAAGAATATATTGCATGCTTTCGAGGTTAAGACTGCACAAATAAGATCTTGAAACTGGAGTATTATTCATTAAGCAAATTACTAAATATTTCYCCACTTTTACAGTACAAACGTTACATGACATACGTGTCATGCTTAAGAGGGTCAAAGCTTGAAAGCAAGATGCGTGAAAAGTCCAAAACGGAGGCCAGGTCAGCAGAGTCGATTATTCTTCAGTTAAAACGAAGTAGTTCAATTGGAAATATAGACTCTAGCCAAGGGTATCGGCCAAGAAACTTACGGGATAGTTATTTCATGGCTATATATCAGGGACAATGAGAAACATTTTTATTGAATGCTGCTTTTAAGAATGTGATGGAAAGACAATATTTGCTGGGGAGTAGTTGGGTGTCACATTGAAGGGACACAAATATCATGCATACGATACTACACCTCCATTCTATGGGCAACTATAGGCCCTTGTTTGTTAGTATAGCAATATGTACTTTGTAAACGTAAGCTTTTTATGGGATATTCACAGACACTTTCCACTTGCTCTCTAAATGGTTTTCACTATACACCCTTTTAATAAGTCCCGAGGTATTGTGTTCTCCGCACTTGACGTCAAATTTATTCTTTTGAAATTTTTACAATTAGTTAAATACAAAAGGAATTCAAAAGAATAAATTTGACGTCAAGTGCGGAGAACACAATACCTTGGGACTTATTAAAAGGGTGTATACTATACGACTGCACAACTTGCAGAGTTGCCTTATATATAGCATGTACAGTTACGGCATTTCATGGAATTACCTAAGATAACAAAATTAATAATGCTTTGTAAACTTAATAAGCTTTTTTATAAAAAGATGGATGTACGTGTTTACGTATAATTCAGACACTTTTCCACTCACTATATATTGCTTCTCAAAGACCAATTTGGTTAAGAATATCCATTAATCCATATTAATGATTAATATTAATAATAGTTATTACTAAATATTATAGTTATTACGTATACTTCAGACACTTATCCACTCACTATATATATATTGCTTCTCAGTAATGATAATAATTAATATTAATAATAGTTATTACTAATATTAATGAGTTTAAAATCAATAATATTAATCATTGTATTATTCCCATCGATCTTGGCATAATATATAAGCTACATGTACTTGCATGAGCTTATATATAAAGCTTGATTGTATGGAATAAATAAGCTCACACCATTTTCTCTAAATATACAACATCTACCACATTTAGACTCCAGAGAAAAACKTATGATCATTGTAATGTTGTCACTTACCTTACTTAAACCTTTCCTACTTTGAAAATTTAAAATCTTTGTAAAAATAATACAAAGTTATTCTTCAGGATATATATTTGTAGTGAATTATTGTTATAAAACAATACAAACAAAAACGTATAATAAATGTAGATTTAATATATGATATATATATAATTATATAAGATTCACAAATTTTATTTTGAAATGTTATGGATTGCATTATGTTACATTATATTGCTAATCATTTTGTCTGGTACAAGAAAGTATTAATTAACACTTATTAATTAGCAGTTCCAAGGTTGTACTCTTGGTTCTAGGTCAATATTAAAAATGTCAAATTTGCTTGTGCACTTTTTATACATTTTTTGTCCCTTTCTGGCCGTGAAGAACCCCTAGGGGTAGAGGGAGGAATTATTTTTAAAATAGTTTGGGTGATTATTTGCTAATCAGTGCCTGGGTAAGAGATGTTGATGTAAAATTCATTATAAACCGCTGTATTTATAACTTGAAGAAATGATTGACCATCAAATGCTATCAAGTATTGTAATTCTATTTTTCTTGTTCTGTTTTTCTTTTAAAATGACCATTGATTGTGACTTGAAACATTATGTGATTTAACCCATAAATAGAAGAAGACAAGGAAAATGTTGAACCAGTTGTGGTGTTAGATTTGAATGTTTGACTGACTTGTATCCTCATTAAAAATGATTGATGCTCAATCAAGCTACAGTAGGTGGATCAGGCTCCTTGAAAATGTTTATGGTTGATAGTGCTGGTCAGGTCAACATTTCTTATTTGTCTAAGGCTGCTTACTGTAAGYCAAGAATGCCAAGAACTAAAGGRGCATGCCAAAAAAATAAAGTATTTYATAATCTTCATGAAAAAAGGATTTACTATTAATAAGAACAATAATTATTAATCCTTATTTTGTGGTAAATTGATTATCATATCATTGCATGAATTGCATTATTTGGAACTGATAATATTTTAATTTATTTGCATACGTATTTTGCACATTTAAAAAAAGATTTAAACTTTAGAAATAAAAGGACAAACTAATATACATTGTGTTGCATTTTTGTCTTCTTTCAATATTCCTAAAGTATCCATAATTATATATTGATAAATATAGTTATTTTGGAGTTGAATAAAGATTAAATTCTAAAGTAATTATTGATAAAGTGTAATTTTAATCTTTGACTTAAATGTATGAACAGTTTATTTTTATTTTATTAAAAGACATTCTGTAATATTTAAAAATTACACATGATCTGATTATGCAACTCACTTGCAACCAAAGATGTTTGCATTTAACTTCATACAATATTAAAAAAAATTATTTTGTCCTTGTCAAGGAATACCAGAATTTCTGGCTTTGACTTGACAGGTCTTGCTTGGCATAACTTGCTTKTAGCCTTTTACTTTGAAAATTTTTCRTGTTTGTTTTTTGTTTGTTTGTTTGTATTRCATGTTGTTTTTGTGWTATTTCTATTCTATTTTATTCCATTCCTTTTGCTTGCTAGAAACACATTTAACATAACTTCGGTTTCACATGTGGCAGCCAATTAATTTTCCTTTCAACTTTTATGTAGTTATCGCAGCAAAGATAAAACATATATTTATATTATATATATATGGTGTAACAATTTGCACTGATTTGAAAAAAAGGATTTTGATATTATATATTAATATATTTTATATAGTACATCTTTTAGTTCAATAGGAGCCATCTTTGTCTTTTCTTTTCATTAGAAGACTAAAGAAAGACAAATACACATATTATACAACAATGTGCAGAAATTATGATCATTTTTGCTTTTATTGCAAAACCAATATTTTTTTGAAGTTGCCTAGCACTATCCTAGTCCTTTCGAAAAAAATATTGTTGATGATATCCCATTATTTCTGATATATTTAATATTTACTTGAAATATGTCTCAAAACGATCATAATTTCTGCATATTGCTGTATTAAAATCAGTTTATTTGCGCTACCGAATGATAGAATGTATATATGTGGATAGTAATTAGAGAGTAATCTATTATATCTATTTTTACTGATACATTTTTTTGATAAAAATCAGCTGCAAAACTATCTGCTTTTCAGTTGTAAAAACTAAAGAAAAGTTTTCACAAGTCTCCTCGCAGCCGTGTTTAGTTTCGGTCACGCGTCACGCAACCTCTGGAGATGTTGCGTGACGCGTGACCGAAACTAAAAAACGACTGCGAGGAGACTAACTTTTCACCAGAAGGAATCTTATTTGGGGAATGATATATTCACTTAATATAATATCTTAACATTTCCCCCCTTTTCTCAGTCCTTTTTTCTAATATTACCAACTCTATATTATTCTGATTTCTAACTTCAGAGGTTGTACCCAAGTGGTCTTGCCGAGTGAGTGGTCTTATGGGGAGCATACCATTTGATATTGACGACTTGTCTAACAACTAACACTCTATGTTGCCCTGTTGTTTTTGTCTGTCTGTCTGTTGGGTAATTCAATGTCATGTATTCATGTATTGTGCTATGATAGATGTATATTTATATGAATAGAAATGATATTTGATATTCATGATTGTAACTGCGATAACAACTAAAATACTAAACTGATTCCATAAGCCTTTGTTTAAGCTTCTCATTTTTGGGGGGTTTTTACAGAGTCCGAAATCCAACAGAATTTTGGCTTTGGAATCCGGAAAACTTGGAATCCAAAACGGAATCAGATAAAACAACAGAAATCCGGAATACAAATTAGTAGGATACTTTGCATTCTTCTTTTAATATGGCGGAAACCAGAATTCTTRCAAAATTCTKGCGGAATCCAGGAACACTAAGAATTCCATGCCATAGGGTAAAACAGAGAACTGAGACAGACTTATGGAATCAGTGTACTAAGAACGATTTAGAAAATTATGCTAATAGTAAATTTATGGATTTTCTGTGCACTAAAAGTGTGCAGCATTTTGCACTATTTACAACTAGYTAATCATGCTAGTGAACGCACGTAATCTGCTAAGTTCACATAGAAAATTGTTCTAACTAAAATAATAATCAAACTAAGCAAAATAATGTTGAATATCATGATAATTAAYGGTTGATTTTTAATGTTGATAAAATTGATAAACGTAAGCAAAGTGATTTATTGGTAAAATAATTAAGAATGAGCGACGGCAATTTGGAGAAAGAAAATGAAAAAATGCAACTGCAACGAAACTATGTTTTCCCTCAAAGGCATGAATTAACCTGCAAAATATAATGCTTTTAGAGAAATAAGAGCGTATTAAAAGCAAATGTGAATAATACTTAATGATAATGATTATTATTATGTTGTTGATAATTGGAAGTAGGATAAAGA